GTTAGAGATTCATGAGTCTAACAGCCTCAGGGTAGAAGCTGTTCCTCAGTCTAGTGGTTCTACACTTAATGCTCCTTAACCTCCTTCCTGAGGGGAGCGGGGTCCTTCATGAACAAGCACCCATTCAGGGAAAACACTGCCTTTCACAATAAAAGACCAACCGCTGACACACCTGTGAGGACTTCCTGTCAGCGTGACTCAGATGAAATTACAGCTCACCTTTTCGATCTCATGATCATCGATATCTTTCAAGTCCAGCTCTCCGCTCTGCAGCGCCTCGTCTGAAACAAAAACAAACTCTCAGTTGATCACAGCCACTTCCTGTTAGGTGGGGGGGTGAAGCTGAGGACAGCTCATGGACGTGAAGACACTAAGACTATTCATCCTTTAAGAGGTATGAGGACTCTATGGAGGTTGCATCGATGGTGATGATGATGGTGGAGGGAGGAAAGGAAGGGATGCTTTTCCTCCTCTTGTTGCAGATTGTTTGCTGTCAGAAAGACAGGACTCCAGACCAGTTACTGACCCATCACAGACCAGTTACTGATGCATCACAGAACAGTTACTGACCCATCACAGACCAGTTACTGACACATCACAGACCAGTTAATGACCCATCACAGACAAGTTACTGACCCATCACAGAACAGTTACTGATGCATCACAGACCAGTTAATGACCCATGACAAACCAGTTACTGACACATCACAGACCAGTTACTGATGCATCACAGACCAGTTACTGACCAATTACAGACCAGTTACTTATCCATCACAGACCAGTTACAGACCCATCACAGACCAGTTACAGACCCATCAAATACCAGTTACAAACCCATCACAGACCAGTTACTGACACATCACAGACCAGTTATTGATGCATCACAGACCAGTTACTGACCCATCACAGACTAGTTACAGACCCATCACAGACCAGTTACTGACCCATCACAGAACAGTTACTGATGCATCACAGACCAGTTACTGACCCATCACAGACCAGTTACTGACCCATCACAGACCAGTTAATGACCCATCACAGACCAGTTACTGATGCATCACAGACCAGTTACTGATGCATCACAGACCAGTTACTGACCCATCACAGACCAGTTACAGACCCATCATAGACCAGTTACTGATGCATCACAGACCAGTTAATGACCCATCACAGACCAGTTACTGACCCATCACAGACCAGTTACAGACCCATCACAGGCCAGTTACAGACCAATCACAGACCAGTTACTGACCCATCACACAACAGTTACTGATGTATCACAGACCAGTTACTGACCCATCATAGACCAGTTACAGACACATCACAGACCAGTTACTGATGCATCACAGACCAGTTACTGACCCATCACAGACCAGTTAATGACCCATCACAGACCAGTTTCAGACCCATCACAGACCAGTTACTGATGCATCACAGACCAGTTACTGACCCATCACAGACCAGTTACTGATGCATCACAGACCAGTTACAGACCCATCACAGACCAGTTACTGATGTATCACAGACAAGTTACAGACCCATCACAGACCAGTTACTGACACATCACAGACCAGTTACTGACCCATCACAGACCATTTACAAATCCATCACAGACCAGTCACTGACACATCAAAGACCAATTACTGACCCATCACAGACCATTTACTGATGTATCACAGACAAGTTACTGACCCATTACAGACCAGTTACCGACCCATCACAGACCAGTTACAGACCCATCACAGACCAGTTACTGACCCATCACAGACCAGTTACTGATGCATCACAGACCAGTTACTGATCAATCACAGACCAGTTACAAACCCATCACAGACCATTTACTGACCCATCACAGACCAGTTACAGACCCATCACAGACCAGTTACTGATGTATCACAGACCAGTTACTGACCCATTACAGACCAATTACTAATGCATCAAAGACCAGTTACTGATCCATTACAGACCAGTTACAGACCCATCACAGACCAGTTACTGACGCATCACAGACCAGTTA